CTCCCTGATTTTGTAATTCAGGTAACGGTGCCCTTGGGGCCGAATTCGGGGTTTTTTTTTTTTTTTTCAGAATCAGAATCAGAAAGAGCTTTATTGCCAAGTATGTTTGCACATACAAGGAATTTGTTATAGTGTCACAAGCTTCCAGTACACGGAGACAACAACAACACACAGATAATAAAAGTGAGATGTGAATAAAATACACATGCATAAATATAAACCACAAAAAAAAAAAGAATAAATTGTATGTACAGGTGTGCTATAGATGGAATAGGAATAGAATAAAATAAAATTAGTTGTAGGGATGTACTAGAGTTTAGGGTGATAAATAAGTATAAGGTTATTACACATACTGTACTTTAATTGCACAATGGGAGAACATTAACTGTTCATGAGGTAGATTGCCTGGGGAAAGAAACTGTTCTTGTGCCTGGCTGTCCTGGTATTCGGTGCTCTGTAACGCCGACCAGACGGCAAAAGTTCAAAAAGGAGATGGCTTGGATGTGATGGATCCAGAGTGATTTTCTGAGCCCTTTTCCTCACTCTGGATGTATACAGTCAATACAGTTCTTGGAGGGTAGGCAGGGGGACACCAATAATCCTTTCAGCAGTCCGAACCATTCTCTGTAGTCTTCTGATGTCTGATTTTGTAGCTGAACCAAACCAGACAGTTATTGAAGTGCACAGAACAGACTCGATGACGGCTGAGTAGAATTCGTAGTGACTCTTAATTTTATAATGCCTATAGCTTCAAAAGTTGGACAAGGAACATGATTTTAAACATGAAGAACGCCTTTCTTTCGCATTCCTTACTAGCGGACTAACCAAGGGGGTTACAGACAAGAGCTTTGCTGTGAAAAAATTCACAGATAATAAAACGACATTTTTATATACCCCCCTATTTATAGCCAAAATAAATCTGAATATCAAACCGCAAACTATCTTTACTCCCGTTGACATGAGTGGGTCCTACAAATAGGCTACATGCAAAACTGAAATGATATATGTGAAAGAAATATTTTGACTAGGTATTTTGAAGGGACAGTATTCGTCAGGCACCTGAGGGTCTGTGAAATGTATATGGAATATTCATAATTATTATTTCCTTTTTCTTTCTATCACAAAAGAGAATTATAAGTAGCTGTTTATTTCCTCTCCAGATGCATCTGATGATGTTGGCGCAGACAGAGTGTCGGTGTCTGCGATGAAGGGAGATTCGGTCACTCTGCACACTAATATTATAATAAACCAACCAGACCGAGTTAAATGGTATTTCAGTGGCACTCGCATCGCTCAAATCACTGGAGATCTCAGTGATATCTGTACAGATGTTCAGTGTAATGAAGGTAATGAGAGATTCAGAGACAGACTGAAGCTGGACAATCAGACTGCTGATCTTACGATCACAAACACCTCAGATAATGGTGTTTATCATCTAAAGATCTTCAGCAGCAGACACACTGGAAAGGATTTTGATGTTGTTGTCCATGGTGAGTTCAAATTGCAGAATGAATATGTTTATCATAATACGGACGTTCAGAATTGCTTTCAGACAGTACCAGAACAATGACTTTAAACTAATTTGTGTGTCCACTGGTGAGTTATTAGTTTTAGATTTAGTTTTATTCTGGTCAGTTTCTCGTCTTACCACCATTTAAATTGCTCTGTTATTTCATACTCATTGTTTTTTAGTTTACTGGATTCCAAATTGCAGAGGGTTTGTTGTACAATAAGCACATAAACTGTGTTTATAAGCACAGAATCTCAATAAATGTTGCGTTACAGATTGACAATAAAGAAACCTAAAATAATATTAATGTTAATGTCATATTTTCTCATATTATGATCACAAGATTATTCAGAAAGTGCTTGGTGAAATTATAAAACACTAATTTATATTCTTCTGTAGTAATACATTGTAATTTGTTTCTTGTGTAGTAATACAAACTACATTATGCATGTCTATGTGTAATACATGTATGGGTCAATAATACATTTTTAATTCTGCAGAGACATTTCTAAGTCTGTATGAATAAAGATAGATCGACAGACTTCTTTTAAGCACAATTCATTTTTTTTTATTTTGCACATTTAATGTTGTTTCTTCTGAATTTCTTAAGATCCAAGAAATTAATCTGCTAAATAATTTTTCATAGTCTGTTCCTATTGAAGAGTTTCGATTGGTGTTTCAGATGTTCCTGCTGCTGGAATGAAGAGAAAGGCAGTGACGGAGGGAGATTCTGTCACTTTAGACGCTCCTGAAGAAAAAAAACCAAATGATGTGATGGCGTGGTTTTTTAATGATACTCTCATCGCTGAAATCACTGGAGATCAGAGTAAGATATTCAGAGACAGACTGGAGCTGGACAATCAGACTGGATCTCTGATGATCACGAACACCAGAACCACAGATGCTGGACTTTATCATCTACAGATCAAATCCAGCAGAAACCGCTACAGTACCACCAGCATTAAGAGCTTCACTGTTTCTGTTACTGGTGAGTATCATTTTGGCCATATGGAAGGAAAACAACTCCTACAGGGGAACGTAAAGAATAATTAACTTGATGTCTTGGTACCAAAGCATTGGTGCTTTTGACGTCACTGTATGAATCCGAATCAGATTCACATGAGCTCTCTGAGACCAGCTGATATCTCGTATTGTTTGTTATAGATCAGTCTAACATATTGACTCACACTAATGACTGTCTCTTTTGTTCCAGATTCAGGTCTGTCTTCAGCTGCTGTAGCAGGAATATGTGCTGCTGCTGCTGTTCTGCTGGTGTTTGCAGCTGTTGGTGTGATTTACTATCACTGCAGGAGCTCCATAAAGGGCGAGTATAACCTACATATTTTATAGTGAGAGGAAAACATCTTTAATTGCAAAATTAGCATCTAATTGTGAGTGATTTTGTGATTTCATAGTTTCTGTAGCTGTAAATGACAGCGCTTTGTTGTTTTACACAGATGAAGGAAGCCCTCATGATCGGAGAGGATCCCAACACAGGGCCGGCACCAACAGGGTGCATTTGCAGACTCAAATGAGTTACTGTGCCCCCACTTTCCATCCTCTTCCTGAAAGCGAAAGTGAAACCGAATAAAACAGTGTGCATATGAAAGCGATCGCATGCTTTCTTGAGCTTCAGGAAATGCACACGATTGCACATGCCCCCCCAACGTGATTTGGGCTCCCTCTAGAAATGTAAATGCCCTCCCCACCACCGATGGAGGTGCCCTGGCTCTGTCCAAACAGGATCAGAGTGAAGATACCGAGGCATTATTCCCATTTAAGTGAAGTGCCAAAAACAAGTCCCTACCACGCTTGTGATTTTAAGCTGCAACTTGATGAAATCTTTTGCAGGTCACATTGATTTGTCATAGAGCACTTACCGTTAACTCTACTGGAAATATTATCCATTACTGTAAGAATAGATAATTTTAGCAATGTGATCATCTATATGTTTTAATGATTTGATAGTTGCAGCTTATAAAACTGGAGTACATTTATTCATTTAGTATCTTTATAAGAAGTGTCAAATAAGGAACATAACATTATCGTAGTTATTATAATAAGTGCCTTTGTTTTACTGGTTGAGGGTTAGTTGAGGGCTTGTGGTGGAGGTTTGCCTTCTGCGGTTTCATATTTCAGCAGATCTAGTGGAGGTTGAATGTGTCTGAAGGAAAGCTTCTGGAAAGAGACTCCTAACCATAATGTACAGTAACCACTAGGTGGTGCTTTTTATCTTCATCCTCAAAGAACAATTGTTCTGCTTTATATATTTGTACTTGTAGCATTCAGCTTTCTTGCTAAAAATTATACAACAAATGCTTTATGAGTATTAGGAAGACGGAAACATTCAATTCAGCATTTAACACTCATTTTAAACCTTTAAGACAGACAATCATGAGCTCTCAGGTTATTAGTCAGTGCTTCTGTTGAAGCCACTTCAACATCAGTAACAAAATGTTCATTATTCATTTCTTTATTTATGTCATTCACAATGCATCATGGGCTCTTATTTCTTCATAAAAGATATCAGGTACCCAGTCTTATACTTAAGTTTTCCCCGTTTGTGCCATTTTTCTTTAAAACAACGTTTGTATTATTATGATTCAGATCAGAGCTGTTTTGTTTGGTTCATTAGAACTACTTATTAAGGAATGAAAATGAACTGGAAAAATACTGCACAAGTTTATCCACCTTATTTTTAAATGCCACAGCCATTTGAAACATGAATGTGTGAGGCTTCTGGTTCATTTCTGGTTATTTATGGGCTATAAATGATCACCCAAATAATAAACATGCTGGTTTATAGTGTGATAGCTTTACTGTTTACTGCACTGTGTTATTGTAGTTGTAGCTGAAAACGTGGCTGTCACTTTTGCACTCTATTTGTTTTTTATTTATTTATTTAGTCATTTAGCAGACGCTTTTATCCAAAGTGACTTACAAATGAGGACAATAAAAGCAGTCAAAACTAACAAAAGAGCAACAATAAGTGCAAATGACAAGTCTCGGTTAGCCTAACGCAGTACACAAGGTGTATATACATATATATATTATACATACACACACACACACACACACACACACACACAAAGAAAAACAAGTAGATGGAATAGAAAAAATAGAAAGCTAGTGTTTGTTTGTTTTTTGTTGTTTTGTTTAAAAAATAATAATATGTATGTTTAAGTTCTTTTCTACTGAGAAGAATAGTTTTTGATAAAACAGTCAATAAATGTAACAATATGTGGTGAATTTAAATAAACTGTTGAAAATATCTTTCTTGGTAAGCATGCACCAGTGTTATATTTTAGTATCTATTATAGTTGTTTTTAATATTTTGAATTCGTTTTATTTTCTGTTTAATGTTCATTTTGGTCCACGTTGTAATAATTTTTTGTCAGTGTGTCTATGTAATCAAACATTTTAATTTCATTCAAATGTTTTATTTGAAGTGTTTTAGTACTTCAACATAAACTAAACAAAAATGTTGCCTTTTCTAAAAAATATATATATAGATTTTGTACATTGATCATGTTAATACTGAATAAACGTTAAAAAAATAGTTTTTTAGGCTATTATTTTTTTATAGGTTTACGAGGCTTTTTTCAGCAAATGTTTATTTCAAATGGCAAAAATATGTTTTTAATAATTTCTGTGACCGGCAGTTTGTATAAACCTTAAAAATGTATTAAGTCATTGAAGATCCGCTGTAGACATTAAAATGATATCGTTTGTGTTGTATCTTTATTTTAAATTCATGAATTATTTCCAGGTGGTAAATGTCTGATGTCAAACAATAAATTAATAAAAAAAAAATAGTTTTTTAGGCTATTATTTTTTTTATAGGTTTACGAGGCTTTTTTCAGCAAATGTTTATTTCAAATGGCAAAAATATGTTTTTAATAATTTCTGTGACCGGCAGTTTGTATAAACCTTAAAAATGTATTAAGTCATTGAAGATCCGCTGTAGACATTAAAATGATATCGTTTGTGTTTTATCTTTATTTTAAATTCATGAATTATTTCCAGGTGGTAAATGTCTGATGTCAAACAATAAATTAATTTAGTTACTGTTGTTGTTGTTGTTCATAGTTTGTCCTCAACGAGGCGACATATAAGAAGCAGTGAAGTTATCATGATTACGCGTCGACAGGATGATTCATTCCAGCGAATCGCTTCGTTCGCTCGGCTCTTCTTAAAGAATCGATTCAAAGAGCTGTTTTATTCGAGTGAACTATTTGCTTAAATACTGCAGTTTGTAACTACGTTTTCGATCAGAATAGCCCGTCGATAATACGCGAAACGCAACAGTGTCTAGTGTTTCAGAATCAGTTCGAACAAATGAAATTAAAAAGAATCAAAAGTTCTGATATCGCTAGCCAAAAATACACGAGCGACCATATCCTAAAACTCTACGCTAGAGCAATAATACCTAGCTTTGCCATATGCATTATGCATTATTAACGAGCATTTTGTGTCGTAACATGTTTTGTGCTCTACGTAGTGCGCATCGCGCGATGGATCAGTACACTTCCTCGTGCAGCCTCATCACGGGTGTGGAAACACCTTCAACACGTCCCATACACGTCCACACTCAACTACACACGCCAGAGGAAGAGAGAGGGAGAAAGGGGGCGGTGAATCGTATGCCACCCGCAAATTGTCTTTCTCTGCGTCCTCTTCTCTCTCTGAATCTCTAGTTTTCCTGCTAACATGGCTGCGCTCTCCGCCTGGTTCTGGAACGAGCGCTTCTGGCTTCCGCACAATGTCACCTGGGCGGATCTGGCCGACCCTGCGCCCGGGGTGGAGTACCCGAAAGCCGGCCACTTGCTCTCCGCGCTGCCGCTGGCCTTGGGGATCTTCGCAGTGCGGATCTTTTTCGAGAGGTATGCCTGGACGCCTTTGAGACCGTCCAAAACTTTTGTCTAACCTCAAGTGATGTATACATTTCAGTCTTTTAACCCACATCACATGCTTTCCCGCGTCTTGATACTGAAAGTTTAGCTTATGCACGCACGTGTCTAAAAAAGGTTGTTTTGGAGTCCATTTGAACTGGTTGGACATGAGAGCCATTTCAAGCCTTGGGGTTATAAACATTCAGCCTGATGCATCTGTCAGCTGACCAGCTTAAGGCCTCGACTTATTAAGAGGATTGCATTTATTTTTCTTTGCTTAAACGTCTTTTTATGTGTCCTCCTTCTTTTACAACCGCACTCTCACTTAAAGAATGAGAGCATGCTTTGTAGTCAGACTTCATTGTTGAGCAGAAGTGCAGGCACACGTGTGATGATCTTCTAGTTTCCTAATATTGATTTTGCATAATATCTGGAAATAGTGTCAGAATTGAACACCACACCCTTTGAAGAGCCTGTGATGCATGTACTGTATAAAACGTGTACAGTGTCATGTCTCAAATATGCTTTGAATTCAAGGGAACATTTGTGTGTCAGTGTAGGAAAGCTTGGTTTTAAAGACATAGCGTGCTCAAAAATGAGCTACTCTTTTCTGTCAAAGTTTAAACACCCTCATGTTTTTCCGCAAACCCTTTGATGTTGACTTTTTTTTATGTGGAACATGACTGGAGACATTTGGTACAATGTTCACGCTGCTCTTTTCCATAAACTGAACGTGAATGGGGACCGGTGCTGTCAAACTCAGAAAAAACACTAAACTGCTTGTGTGCTAAGTTAATAATGACTTGAAGTTCTGTAGGTTCGTTAAACTATCTTTTTCTAAACTATCTAAATTTTGAATTTTTGGGTGAACTATTCATTTAAAACTAAACATTTAAAAAAGGCAAATTGCTATGCAAGTTACACCAAACCTCAGGCTCTCTGTCATAACACGATTCTGTTACGTAAGAGCCAGCGTCACTCTATCCCGCTGTTGGGTTTCTGCACGAAGTGCATTCAACGTCTTGAACTAATATTTTAGATTTAGGACTACGAATAGACTGTAGAAACATTCCAGAGCGTTCTCAGCTGAATGTTCGGTGGGTGGGGATCTCATTTTTGACGTCTAAAATCCAGTGTTCATGAGAAAAAGTGGGTTCGTTATGGCTACAAGCAGAACTGTGGTGCTTTTGATATCTAGCATACTACTCAATAATGACTATATTCATGTATAACGGTGTTGTAAAGGTATTGCGTCCAAAACAACCTCTTTTGTGTTAGTTGGGCTGCTTTAGGTTTCATTGACGTGGAGTATAAGTATCTTGAGGAACCTGTTAGGAGAAACTACTTCTTACTGATCCAGTTGAGGTAAAAGTATTTGTGGTTTTGAGTCTGGTTGCACCAGTTCTGTTGAAACTGTTTAAAATTTGCGTTTGACTAGTTTTAAAAATAGAACCAGTGAAACTAACTCAGACACAAGGCTTCACCAAATGTGTTTGGTTTCTTCTTAAAAGTGTGAAACATTTGTGTTTTGATGTCAGAAAATGAGATTGAGGCATGAAAAAGTTCTTGACACTTTTGTTTCGTATGGAAGCCCGTCTCCGCCACTAAATAAAACATAAAACAAGGTAATTGCGACTTTTTATCTCACAATTCTGACTTTTTTTTCTCACTTTATAACACGCAATTGCGAGTTATAAAGTCAGAACTGTGTGATATAAACTAGCAATTGCGAGTTATAAAGTCAAAATTGCGAGATATGAACTCGCAATTCTGACTTTTTTTCTCATAATTGCGAGTTTATATTTTGCAATTCTGACTTTATAACTTGCAA